CTTGCCTGATGGGAGCGATACCCGCTGAGGGTGAGACAGACTTTCCGTTGCCAGGAATGGCTCCCTGGGATGGACCTTGGGAAGAGAACTTGGCTCCAAGGAGAAAGTGACAGTGGGGTGTGTGGCTCTGCTGGTAACATTCCCATCTTGTTTTAGAGTAGGTGTGAAGGATCAGTTGGCAAGAAGTCCCCTGCTTTGTTGTCACCTTCCAAACCGTGCAGCGGCTCACCTTGATTCGGTGATCTTGAGGATTGTAACATTTGGGACATAGCTGGCCCTTTGGAAACAGCAGGGATGTCTGACAGTCTGCTAAACCATGAAGCCACAGACACTGGGAATCCTAACTGAGGGCTGTGTCCTCTGTGTGAGCACTGGCTTGGTTCTGGCACTCTTTAGGGAAGTGTTTGCACTGGAGCAGGAGTTGTAGACTTGTGAGTGTGGCGTCCTCTCTTTCTTCCAAATATCTTTTCAGCATCTTGCCTGAGAAACAGTGTGTGCTCTGTGAAGTGTCCTGCTGGCAGGGGACAAAACAGGGCTCATACCACCCAAATTTATTCCTGGGGAATGTCTCTCCAGGTCATCATACTTGAATGAGGGTCAGTGTGATCTCATGTGAGGAACATTCAGACTTGTGAAACATGGATTGTGGAACTGCACCCTGATTGTGGCACTGTTGAATTTTCCAGGTATCATGAGCTGGTCACCAAGTATGGGAAGCTGGAACCCTTGGCAGTGGTGGATCTTCGGCCTCAGAGCAGCGTGAAGGTGGAGGTTCACTTCCAGGATAAGGTGGAGGAGATGTCCATCCGCCTCGATCAGACTGTGGCAGAGCTGAAGAAGCACTTAAAAACTGTGGTGCAGCTGTCCACGAGCAACATGCTGCTCTTCTACTTGGACCAGGAGGCTCCCTTCGGTCCCGAGGAGATGAAGTACAGCTCCCGAGCGCTGCACTCCTACGGCATCCGGGATGGGGATAAAATCTACGTGGAGCCCCGAATGAAATAACCTCTCTTGACCACACACATGCCCCCCCACACCCACACACATGCATTAAGGAGTTTTTGCAAGGTTTTTGTTTCGGTTGGTTGGTTGAGGTTTGGTTGTGTTTCTGTAGCAGGTGATTTCTTAGCCCGGAGGAGGTGCCCTGACGTGAGAACCAACGCCCACCATCCACTGCAGGTGACCTTGAGGTGACAGTTGACTTCAGGACGTGTGTTTCAGTGTGGGCAATACCTTGATGTTCCCTTTGATGCTCCGGTATACTCGTGATTTGGCGTGAATGGTCAGTTGTTCAAGCTAAGGAATGCCAGGGTCCATAAGGGAGACAACAGCTCGGTGCAGAATTTGACCTGTTGTTTTCTTTTCCTAAGTTTTTGGTGTTTTGCTCCACCAGAGCTCCCTTTGGCCTCGCTACCCGACTGTGGCTCGAGCTTGCTGAAGTATTTCCTTGCAGCTTGGTGCTGTCCCAACCTTTTGTTGTGCTCGAGTTCACAGACAAGATCTCCAACAGTATTTGTTCCGCTTGATTCAGAGCTCAGGTACTTAGTGCATCCACTTCACTCCGCTGGTTTGGTTTCTAGGAGTGCACAAAATGGGGGAAAGAAAGAGAATTTAGCAGAAAGAAACTTTCTTTTCAGAACACACGCCCTTTATCCACTTTGATTTGGGGGAAAACCAGGAAGTTTTGGTGGCTGTTCCCATCTCACACTGTGTCTGCAGCCTGTAGCACTGGCAGGCTGGGGGCAACGGGACCCTTGGGTGTGTTGCAAAGTGAATTTTGGAGTGTGGTGGGATGGATGTTGCGTTGGAAGGGCTTTTAGAGTAACAGGTCAGCGAGGGGTTGAAGAGCTTCCCCCACTGGCCGTCGTCCATCCTGATGCTGAAGAGATCCTCCATGCACTTAACCTTGGCCAGCTGGTACTGAACGTGGGATGGCTAAAATTCCTCTCCAGGGAGGAGAGGAAGAGTGAAGTTGAAGTTTGTGTTTGTTGCTGTTGCACCAGAATTCAAACCTTAGCACTTTCCCCGGGGCCCCTGGCTGGGGGTCCCTGCTTGGGGTCCGAGCCAGGACAATGTGTCGGCTCAGACCAGTTCCTACAAGTTGAGTAACAAAGCAACCAGACTCGTGTTTGTTGTTCAGCAGGTTTTCACTCCCTATTGGCTTCCCCCCCCTTGTGCTGCTGCTTAAGTTAGCCCCTGTTTTCTGCTGCAGAGCAGATTCCCTTTCCTGTTCAGTGAAATCCTCCTTCCTATTTCTTGTTTCCCTTCCCTGTGTCTTCCCTTGTTCCTCTGCTCCCTGACAAGTTGAAGACTTTTCAGATTTCCTAGTTACAAGCAGCTGCATAAAAGTTTTTGAAGCTGTGCAGTGAGGGCTCTAGTTACACATGAACTCCTGACCTTAATCTTGAAATGCTCCCTTGTCCCCATGTGCACTTTCTTTCCCATGATGCTTCTGTCCACATCACCAAGCTCCTTTGATATTCCTGGAGTTGTGTATTTCTCTTCATATTTCACCTAAAAAGTGGGGTGGGATAGGATGGGGAGGGGGTGAAGTGTTATCTCATAGTCTTCAGGTTCAGAATGTGGGGATAGTTCAGAGGGGAGAGTAGTTCCTCATCCAAAGTAAGCGTTAAAAATGGGAGGATTTAAGACAAATTAATAATTTGTGCCTCACCCCCCTGCCAAAAATACGAATTTCTTGGCCCCGTTGAGATGAGCAATAGGAAAGGGAGCAAGACTTTCCACAGGTAGCATAGAGACCACAGCATGTACCTGCAGAGCTGTGGTACCTGTAAAACTAAAACAGCAGGGAGGTAGTGGCAGTGTAACATAAAATGATGCTTTTATAAGCTAGAGCTTTACTGAAGATGTATTTTCCGTTTTGGGCAGTGAAAGTAATTTGCTGCCTTATAGCAGAACTCTTAAGCCAACACTTTCTGTATGATATATATATATACATACGTGCGAATAGGAGAAGTTGTGGTTAATAAGATATTTTGTTATAAAGCAAAGTTTTATGAAGATATGGTTGTTTAATATTAGAAGCCTATTTCAGCCCTTGACCTCCAGTGTAAGTAGGTTGTCCCTGAGTCGCTGCAGTGTCCGAGGTAAGCGACCAAGAGGGATGCAAAAGTGTCTCTGACCTAATTCTGTAGAGCAGTAATTTGCCTCTGTGGGTGTATTTATGGCATTGTACCTGCTATTAATGAGATGCTGTAACTCTTGACCAACTTCCTGAGCACAATTAAGTGTCTGGGTTTCAGAGAAGGGAATAAACAAAGGCCATTAAAGAGCTGAATGGGATGATAAAGAAGACCCAAGGATGTGCTTTTAAGTTTGTTTGCCCACTAAAAATTGGCCTGTCCCTGGAGGGAATGGTGCTGTCCCTGCACTGGCTCAGAACTGTCAGTAAATCCTGGTTTTGTTTGTGGCAGACCTGATGGGAACTGGGAGATGGGAAAGAACAGCTACTGACATACAAGGTCAGCAGGTGCTGGGGATTTGGTGCTGACACCCAACCCAGCTGCCCTGGTCAGGCAGGTCAGAAGTCACAATATCAACACCACCACTTTGCCACTTCTCCAGGGAAGGGTTTTTAATGGATGATGTTCTCAAGGCATTCACCTTGTGTGCAGCTTGTGGGACACTTGTAGGGTGGAAACCAAAAATCTTGGCTGTCTTCCCGAGGAGAAGAAGTCACATCCAAAACCCAGAGACAGTTTATGTGTCCAGATGATTGACTTTGGAAGGTAGGACCAAAAGGCACACAACTGATGGGGGAAAACACCCCAGATCCCTTTCCTTTTGTAATACCTCTTGGGAAAGGGTCTTGTGCGTGTGCCATGTCAGTACTTAACAGGGACCATGTCTTGGAGAGAGAAGAGAGGGCTCTGAGTGGGAGAGGAGGTTTGGGATGCTGAGAGTCCTGTAGGGTCCTGATGTGACAGGAGGTTTGATTGAGGAGGTTTGAGTCAGGAGGGGCTGTGCCCAAGTGAAAACATCCCTGGCTCTGCTACATTCCTTGGAGAAAACAAAATAGATTTGCAAGCTTTCCTAGCTTTTGTGTCCTTCTATCAGAGGGCTACTTTTGTCAAGAGCTGTTTTGCTGTTCCTGCTAGTTCAGGCATTAAAAGTCTGCCCCGGGCAGTCTGCGTGGCGGGCAAGCCCTTGGCTCACCGGGAATTAGGTGACAGCTACATACCAAAGTGTCACACGGCTCCGTGTGCTGAGATTGGATGCTGTGCTCTCGTGTTTTTGGATAACGTTGCTGTTGACTGTCCGTGTTTTGACCAGATGTTTGGGGCGGATCTGAAGGGGCGATGTTACGAATATTCATGGCGTGCTGACTGCCCTCTGCTCCCCCGCTGGGCTTTGTAACACCGTTTTTTTGGGAGCTGCACACATCCTAGTGGCAGGTGAGAGTCTGGCCCAGGGTGGCCCGGAGGAGCTGCCTCTGGGGAGGGCCTCCTTGGGTCTGGAATCTCTGGCACTGGCTCTGCCTCCTCGGTTGCCGGTTTTCGCTTGTAAATGAGATTCTGTAGGTTCTGTTCGTGTGCAGATTTGAAAATGCAAACGAGGTGCTGGAAGCAGCCCAGAGGCTAAAATATGTATTCCTGGCAGCTGTGCCTCCCTCGTTTGGATGTGGCACTTCTGTAGGAGGCAGAGAGACGCCTTCCCCAGAGCAACGTTCGAGGGGCTTCAACCATCTCGGGCCTTTGCCTCTGTGATTGCTTTCCTGCAGTTACTGGAAATTTCAAATATAGTTTAAACATGAAGATCTGTTCTTGCTCCCTGTTAATGTTGCATCCATGTGTAATTTCAAAGAGAAAGAACTGTGAGTCCATCTCGTTTTTTATTCTGGTTTCTCTCACGGGGGATATTCTTCCCGCTCCCACGACTTGCCTTTGGTTTGCTCGCAGACTTAGCGGTGGAATTCAGGCCAAATAGGTAATTGGTTTGGATCAGTTCAATAAACTTATGTAAGTTTTTACACAAAAAAAAAAAAAAGGTGTCCTGAGCTTTGCCCTTTTGTGTTCCCCTTGAAGCAAAACGTTCCTGTGGGTCTGACCCACGTGTTTAACTCACACCTTTGGTGCGGTGAGAGCTGCCGGGGTGTATTTGTGCTGCTGATGTGTGTGCTGAGAGCTCAGGCACAGCCACCTCACCTGTGATGGTGCTTTTTGAAAGGAAAAGGAAGATCTAGTCCTCTCCTGGGCTGTATTTCTCCGTGGCTGTGATTCATCTCCACTTCCAGGTGAGGAACAAGGCTTGAGTTCACTGTTTTCTGCTCCATGTCCTCACTGGGGATAAAACAAGTTCCATCCTCGTGGCCCACACCAAATAACCCTGGGGAGAGGCAGGAGGAAAAAGAATGTCCCTCCAGATGGGACAGAGCTCCTGGCAAACCCCTCCCAGGGTGTCTCCCAGCTGTGCTGGGTCCCTTGAAATGGGAATGCCTGTGGTTGCTCTGCTGAGATGAAGCAGCCAGAGAACCTTTTGCCTCATCTTTTCATGCTTGTTTTTTCTTGAGGTCAGGCATGGGAGGAAGTTTTCTGCTGGAAGAATTAAAAAAAAAAAAAAAAGAGAAGTGTTTGGTTGTTCAGCTCCGATGTGTCCAGCACTGCATGATGGGAACATCCCCTGCCAAAAGAAAATAGCCTGGAAGACAAAGTCCTCCCCAAAGAGACAGTGAAACCTAATCAAACTTCATCAGTGTGGTCTTGCCCAGGATGAACAGGACCAGAATATTAAACTGAAAAAGGAGCAGAAGGAAACCTATTTTCACCAATTTTCTCTGTGTTACAAAACAGAAGGAGAAGAGTCAATTGATTTTCCTGTGGCTGGTAATGTTTAAAATGAAGAGCCAGGGTGCATGGAGTGGCAGGCTGGAAGTAATGGGTCCCTGGAATATCAGTGCTGATATCCCCCTGCCCTCCTAAAATAGTTGTTGGTTTAGAAAAGGGTACAAATAAGTTTAAAAAATGAAAGACTCTTGTTAGCAAGGCCACGTTTGGAGGATGAAGAAAAAGCAAACTCCAGGATTTGCTGTGGGGGTGGTGTGTTGCCTGGTGCCCCTGATGTGCTGAAGGAAACTGCTGATGTAAGATGCAGCACTTTGGGGGTGAACTTGCTAAACACACTTCTAGGAGCCCCCAGGCTCCTGGGAAAAAAAAAGTCTGGGCTTCTCTGGTTCTTGTTGGGCTGCTGGCATTCCTGTGCCCTCTCCATTCCTGACAAGGGGCAGGGAGAGGGTGTACAGGGAACACAGGAGGAATAACTAACACCTAGCAGGGAAAACAGGGAAAATAAAAGGCACCCACCCAGAAAGTCAGAAAGGAAAAGCCAAGGTCAGGCTGTTTTCCCACGATGGGTTGGAGCTCTGCCTGTCCTACCTGAGTCTTGCTGCAGGCTGGAAGATCAGCTCTAACGTGGCTCTGCTGGTGGCATCCTTCACCCCTCAGCTGCTATTCCACCTCTCCCTCTCTCATCTGACGTGGATCTGAACTAAATGAAAGTGGTTGAATTCTTTTCCTGGGGTACAGAAAATGAGGAACTTTGGTCAGCTCACCCCAGCTACTCCCACAGCCCAGAGCTAGTTGTGTATCTTCTATCAGCCCAGATGCCAGGGGCAGGGAAAATCCCTGTGGAAATTGCAGGTTGTAGGAGTGAAAACAGTAATAACACTCACACCAGTCCCCCAGTGAGACTCCCCACCAGCAGCCAGCCCTTCCAGAGCAGGTGGAAACAGGAACAGCAAGGAAAGCCTCCCTGGGAGATCTGGAGACAGAACACTGGACTGGGTGAGTTTTTCCTTTTCCACCTGTAAAAGCAGAAGTCAGTTACAGAAAGTAAAGCAAGACCTGGATGGCAGAGTAGCTCCATTGAAAGTTCAGGGCACTTTGAGCCTAGCACTGCTTAATGCTAATCCTGTAACAGTATATAGATGGGCTTTTTTTTTTTTTTTTCCTTTTACACAAAGGAGGAAGGGGCTCAGTTCTTCTGAGGGTTGGGTTTTCTTTCCCCTGAGCAGCACAGCAGCAAGCCCAGCTCCGGCTCGCTGGCATTTCCATCTGAATCCACCTGAAGGGGGTGAGCTTTTGGGGAAGAAAGAGGCTCCTCTCCCTCTCCAGGCCAGAATCTGATCTCCAGATTAGCTTGCTGGTTATCAATAGAGGCAACAGTTGTGATTGCAACTCAACACTGCTCCAGCCCTGGAAGAGCATTGACGGAAAGGGAGTTTTCAATTGGGAGAGCAGGGGACTGAGCCATCCTTTCAGTCCCCAGCAAGGATTGGCACGGGAGGACCGGCATGCATTCTCCATTGACATAGGACTTCGCCCTGCTCCACCAAGATTGGTCTAAAATTTCAGACCTCATCGCTCCTCTAGTCCACAAACAGGTTGGTAATCTTTTTTTTCATACCTAAATAATTGCAGTTTTCAATGGGATATGTTCAATAATGTGTTCTTTATTAAGTCTGTCGTGTTTGCCGAGTGGTGCCAGTCTTCCTCTTGTCCTCAGGCTGCCACAGTCTCCACTAGTCACTCTCTGCCCGCTCCCTGCTAATGAATCCACAGAATTTACAATCCTGCCATCCTCCTTTCATCTTCCCAAGACAGGGAATGTGGCAAAACTTTTCCTTGGTGCAGTGATTTCTAGTCAATGGAGAATGTGGCAGCTGGGAGCAGGCTGGGACCAGCATTGATGTGACTGCAGCAGTGAACAGGGAGGAACTTTCTGTCCGCTGTGTTCCATACTTTTCAAGCTCCCAGAAGTGGGAATCAAGTGGAAGTGATGTGGGACAGATGATGGGATGTCCCCCCTGTGTGCTCTGTGTGCTGTTTATGTAAATGTGTGTCTTTAGAAGGTGTTGGATCTGCTGATCCACAAACCTCATAAAAACAGATGTACAGAGGACACAAAGCAACACTGCCTTTTACAGACAGATATTTAAAGCTGGGAAGGTGGAGGGGCTGATCTGAAAACTTAGGCTGTGCATAATGGCTGTGTGAAGCTGATAATTTACTTTTCCCACTGGGAACACACGAGACCTTCCCGGGAGCTCGACGTGAGCCCTGCCCGTGTGTAATCACGGACTCGACGGGCGAAGAAATCAAAGCAGGTGTTTTAGCAATATTTTCCATTGGATTAATAATGGGTAACAAATTGCATTAGGCACAGAAGGAATTAAAGCTGGCACGGGGTTTTCTCTTTCATTTTCCCAGCCCTGTGTCTGCTCTCTCTCTCTCCCATTGATTCCTGTGCAGCAAGGAGGTGCCCAGCTGTGTAAATGTTTGGGCTCATCCAAACCAGTAAGTGGTGGTTGTGGTAGGAGCCAGCACAGAGGATTAGTCAAAGTGGTGTCTGAAGCCCCTTAACCATGAGAGCACACCACAACTCTTGTGCTTGGAGCAGTGCAGAGCTGCTCCCCTTGGAACTGGGCAGGAGTGTCCATCCCTGCACTGAGCAAATCAGGGAGGAATTGCTTTTGAACCCTCAGGAGAATCAAGAGCCCACAGAGAGCTGGGGCTGTTTACAGCTTCCAAAATCCATGTGAAACCAGCAGCAGCTCTTCCATGTGGTTCTGGGCTTCCTTTGGCAGTGCCTGCAGGTGATTTGCTGTTATCACCAGGGAATTCTCTCTGCACCACTCCATGGAACAGGCATTTCGGGTCTGCCTGGCAGGTGAGGGGCCTCCACCTCTGAAACATCCACCTGGCTTCAGGAAGCAGCAGGGCTTGGGGGATCCTTAAGGATGCGTTTTCCTACCAATGTGATGCATGTCTGGGTTTCTTCCCTTCCTGTAGGATGAACAAACGATCGTTTCTGGGAACCTGGGTGGCCCTTTTGGTGATAACAGCCCGGCAGCGAGGTGAGTGTCTCCTGCTGGAGTGCTGGGAGCCCAAAATTCCCCAGCTCTGCTGTGCCCAGAGACCCCAGAGGGCTGGGAAAACACCCCCAACTCCTTGTCTGGGGGTGTATAAGGACCAGGGTGACCTGAGTGTTTCCCATGGGGAGGAAGAGGCTGGGAATTTTAAGGGATGCTTGTGTATGTCATTTATATGGCTGTGTGTGCACGTGGGAGCTTTCCAGAGGTTGTGTTGGTCTGGCCAGTCACTGTAAAATCAGTTTGAAAACATTTCAGTGTTAGGACTGCTGAGTAGGAACAGCAGCATGGCCCCAGCAGTGCTAAAGGAGCTGGAATTAAGGAGTGTCTGCCGAGTTCCCTGTTTTAAAAATCAGTAAAATCCGTGTCTCATAGCTATGCCTTGGCTGTAATAACTTTTCAGGTGTGTGACAGCTGTGAAATGACTTATTTTACTGCCTGTCAGCCCGAAGTTTTGCTGTGGCCCTTTGGATATATCTGTGAAACCATCACATGCCACTTCCCTTTATGTCTAGTGGGGCACTCAGGCCACTCAGAGGTGTCAGGAAATCAGGATGCCAGTGGGTTAGGCCAGGCTTGCCCTTGTCTCCTTTTCCCCTGGGAAAATTGGACCAGTTGAGCCTGTGAAGGACTCAATTTATTCTCCTTATTCCAAGGCAATTTCCAGCATGAATCATCCTCAGGATGGCAGGGAAGGAGCATCCCCTGGGCTGGGCATCAGGAGAGCCCCCCCTGTGCCTGTAACAGTGGGGAACAGAGCAAACTGGCCCCATCTGAGGCCCCTGAAAGCACAGGGTCGGGCCCAGGAAGTAAAAGCACATCCTGAATCCAGGTGAACAGAGCTGGGATTGTTCAGATCCTGTGGCCTTGTATCAGCCAAGATTGAATGTTGTCAGGACAGGGCATGGCTTTTCTACACTAAAGAGGGGAGAGGGGAGGGGAAAACCCAGAAAAATCCCTGTTTCCTCTGTGAGGAGCACAATGGAAACAGGACATGAGATGACAGCAGAGGTCTGGCAGGGGCTGGGACGGGAAGGGACGTGTCCCCAGGGGCCAGAAGTGCCTGACTGTGCCTCAAGCCAATGGATTTTAGGCTGGTAGAAAGCAGCAGGCTTGTAATGAGATGTGTCAAAACCATCTTCTGAAGTATTTTTAGGAGAGACAGTTATGTCCACTGGCAGTGCCTTTTAGCAGGAGGTGTTTTGCTGGGAAATCTCAAAGCAGCCGTGACACCTCAGGCTGTGACCCGGCCCCAGGAGCCCTGGGGTCCAGCAGGGAGAGCTGTGCAGGCAGGAGGGAGGTGGACACTGCCAGGAATGTGTCCCTGGGGGTTGGGGTTGGTGCTGTTTGCTCCCCTGAACACCTCACCACCTAAAACAGCAAGTCCTGCCCATCCTGGAGCGGGGAGGATGGACCTGTTGTCCCAGTGAGAAGCAGAGAGATGAGTGGTATGACTTGGTGGCACTCACATGGAAGGCAAAAAGCAAAGCTACAACTGTCCTGCATCTTGGGGTCACTTTGCTGTTGCCCCAACCAACCTTTGGATGATGCTTTCTCTCCTGACCCTGTCCCAGTCCCAGAGCTGGAGCCTCTGCTGCGGCTTTGCTGTGGCCTCTCTGAAGTCAGAACAGGTCCTGACATGGCCTGAAGGACTCTCTTCTCTCTCTCCTTCCAGCTCACACCATGGGCAGTCTGTATCCATTCTGGCAGAACGACACAAGAACACCCAAAGTTGATGATGGAAGCTCTCCCGAGATCAGGATCTCCGTCCCTTTCATCTATTTTGGAGTCCCCTACAGAAGCATTTATGTGAGTGGACAAACAGACCTTCCCTTGGCTCTTTTCCTTGTCATTAGGTTGTATTTTAAATGCTCTCTCCCTGTCATCAGGAACGGGAAGATTTATTAGCAACTACCTGACAAGTTCTTAGATTTTGTGAACTGATAGGTTTTATGATTAAGAAAGTCAAAGGTATATTTAATGGGATAATGTTCATGGGAAAGGAATATAAAAGGCAGTAAATTTTCTTTGTAGGTGATTAAATGGTACAGCAAAGCTAAGGGCTTGACACGAGGGACATTTTTCCTGTTGCATGACAAGAAACAAGAAAATGCAGAGACCTGCTGGGGGGAAAATGGGCAACAGTTTTGTGGGTGCCCGAGACAAGGACAAATTGCTGCTCTCCTTTGTTGTCCTGTAGAGCCCTGTTCTGCAGACCTTTCAGGGATTTTTGGGGCTTTTTCAGGGATGCTTTTGGGGCTTCCTCCATCAGCCTTTGGCCACCCCTGGTGGGATGAAGCAGAATCTCTGGCTGGGTGGTCAGGCTGCCTCACCCACCGTCACCGTCACCACCTCTCACCCCACATTTTCTGAGAAACCCGCGGGTTTCTGCTGCCTGCAAAGGCTTGCTCAGGCAGGGTGGGTCTCTTGCTGCAGGTGAACAACAACGGGGTGATCTCCTTCAACACGCTGGTCAGCCAGTTCACCCCCGAGGCCTTCCCGCTGGCCGACGGCCGCGCCTTCGTGGCGCCGTTCTGGGCCGACGTGCACAACGGCATCCGGGGGGACGTCTACTACAGGGAGAGCACGGACCCCAGGCTGCTCAGGAGAGCCTCCAAGGACATCCACAAGCACTTCAAGGACATGGCCTCCTTCTCGGCCACCTGGGTCTTCATCGTCACCTGGGAGGAGGTCACGTTCTACGGGGGGAGCAGCACGACGCCGGTAAGAGCGTGGTTCTGGATGGTTGAATGTATGCCTGTGGTTGTATATCTGTGTGTCTATGTATCAGTTATATAATTGTCTTCTGTGTGTAAAATTGACTGTTTCATTGTGCTCCTCAGTTCCCCTTGGGCAGAGAAGCACCATGGTCCTTTTCACCTTTCTGTCTCGTGGGAGCCCATACGAGCCTCCCTCCCTGCTCTCAGATCTCCAGGGAAAGCATCCCCTCTTTGGTATTTGCAGGCAGTGTAGCTAAACAGGGCCCTGACACCACTTAGGAGTGTTTGGCTTGATCACAGTGTGCTTATTTTTTGTTAGATACAAATGCAAATATTTGTGATGACAACTGCAGGGGAGAACGGTCAGACTGACCGGAGTCACACTCATGACTCAACCATATTATGTTTCCAAAAATGTGAGTTGTATCTCAGAGGATGGAGATGACAGTGTGGTGGTTTTCTAGGGCATGAACAGCTTTTAAATATCTGGTTAATATGTGAGCTGTGGCTGCAGCTGCTGTTGGGAGATCCGTACTGGACTCCTGGTAGCTGAAGGCTTGGGGTACAGATACAATCCTAGGATGGTTTGAGTTGGAAAGGACCTCAAAGCTCATCCTGTCCCACCCCCTGCCATGGGCAGGGACACCTTCCACTAGACCAGATTGCTCCAAGCCCTGTCCAACCTGACCTTGGACACTTGGGGAGTGAGGGATCCCAGCTATTGTTTGGGGCAAGGCTTGTTTAGGATTAGCAAGTGCCAAAAGCTGGTTTCTTCTGTCTCGAGGAGTTGGCTCTGATAAACAGTCCAGCTCTTTCCCATTTGTTAGAGAAGCTTGAGATTTAATGCATATTTTTTGCCAGTCCTGGCAGCAGTTGCAGAAAAAACCCCACATATATATTTATTTGCAGACAGGAAGCGATATAGAGATTCGTGTATTGCCTGAAGAATTACATTTGCAACACAGTGCAATTTATTTCGTTGTGGAGCAGCCTTCCTGCTCAGCAGCAGCCAGGGCTCGGGGTTGGCACGTGGAACAGCACGATGCAACTTAAGCAGGAGATTCATCGCAATGCAGAAAAGCTGCAGAAAACAATTTGGGGAATGTGGCCTCTGGGACGCTGCAGTTGCTGTCTCGTGATGTCACCTGACATTAGCTCAGTTTCTGAGAGCCTGGTGAGGCAGCAAGGGTGCTCAGGGGCCATCAGAACCAAAGAGGGAGATTTTGGGGGTTGATGGAAGTTCCAGCCATCTTACACCTGGCATCAGGTCACCTCCTGCTGCTCTCCGAGAGGCCCCTGAGCAGAGCAGGGTTTGCTGCCCCACCAGAAAGCTGCTGTTGCACTCTCAGAGTGATCCTGACTTTATGTGTGACGTGTTAGTGATCTCACAGCACGGCAAAAGACTTGGCCAAGGTGAGCAAAGTGTGCAAGAGACACCAGAAGTAGGAGGCAGAATCCCAGGGAAAGGATGCAAGAGTGGAAACGGTGGCTCTCCCGCCCGCCCCGGTGTGAACTGTGCCATTTGCAGCTGCTGGGAGGCTGCTCTGCCCACACCTCTCACTCTCCTGACAGCTCCCAAAGCCTGCTTTGCCTCTATGTTCAAGATTCCTCATGGCAGGAGCCCTTATGTGCCTTGGAAGTGACCTCCCTCGTGGTGTGCAAGCAGTGAGTGCAGCCCTGGGCTCCCCTCTGCAGTCCCGAGGCATCCTCAGAGCCCAGAATCAAACCAGTGGGTTCAGCACCAGGCTCCTTGTATTGCTCTTGATTAATTAAAAGAGAGGCATCCCACACTTAGGGCCCTGCTAAAATCCTGCTTGCTCAGAGGCAGGAGGAGCAGTTGTCATGGCATGGTCCCAGTGCAGAGGAAGGGCAGGGGTGGGAAGGACAGGAAAATGCTAAAGGCTGAGAGAAGTGATTGACTTTATTCCCAGCGATGAGCTCTGCTGCTGGATCTGCGTGGATAGAGGGAATATCTCAAGGAAAGAGGCTTCTTCTGCCTTTCTATACAGCTATAAGTGGAAAATGGGGATTATGCTGCCCTCACCACCTGGCAAAGCGGGCTCTTCCCACCTGGAGCCCTGCTGGAATGTGTCTGGAGCTGGGGGGGCTGGAAATGCAGAGTCATTTCAAGGGAAAGGAAGAACATGAGCAGCAGATTTAGCAGGGAGCAAGGGGATTTGGCAGCCAGCAAAGGGCATGATATACGTGGCTGGCTTGGATGTAATCCACCTTTAGCAGTATTGTGGGATATGGATGTGGAAGGGAACTGGGAAAGATAATGCAGCGAGGGATAAAGCTGAGATAGGGTAAGAGGAGATAACCGATCTTAGCAACCTGAATCCTGCCCATTGCCTCTTCCCTGTGAGCTCATTCTCATGCTGCCATCTATTGGTGTTCACTTGGATCAGAGACGGACTTGTCGTCCTCCCAGGTGGAGGAAAGGGCAGGGATAGGAGCTGGTGGAGTTGTGGCAGCAAGCACAGGCGTATTTTGGGTCTAATTCAGCTTCTGCAGCTCTTCACTGCAAGCCTCCTGTGTCTTGCCCAGGCTGGAGATGAACGTGGTGAAAGGACAGGCAAACAGCACGAGAAAAGCAGTATCACCTCGTGAGTGTGCTCCTGGTTTTCCACAGGTGAACACTTTCCAAGCTGTCCTGATCTCAGATGGAGTGTCTTCCTTTGCCATATTTAACTACCACGAAATCAGCTGGACCACGGGGACAGCCAGTGGAGGGGACCCCCTGACTGGTCTCGGCGGGGTGATGGCCCAGGTGAGGCTCTTGCTGCCATATCCCTGTCTCTGTTGAACTCTTGGATGATTGCCTGTAGCTTTCCCAACATGTCCATGCTTCCTCATGCCACTCAGTCCCCCACTGTCCCCAGCACTCCTTGCATCCCGCTGCTGGGCACCCAAAATCTGGTGATGGCAGCAGTTCCATCTTCCTGGGGAGGGAGGTTCCTGCATAAGGGGAGTTTCCCTGCATTGCTTCCTCACTTCATCTTGGCCACTCAATACATACCCCCTTAGATCTGTATTTACAAACATATGTATATACACATACCTAAATCTGTAAATATACATCCATTCTGCTTGTAGTACCCATTTAGCTTTTCAAAACTAACTGAAAACTGCCATCCCTGAGAGGAGCTGTTGAAACTAAAGAGGAGGGGGCAGAGAAGTGAGGAAATGCAGCATCGCTTTCCCGTGGCCAAGATGGGTGATGGAATTTGCTCTCTCTCTGCCTTAGGCTGGTTTCAATGGAGGAAATCTCACCAACTTCTTCAGCCTCCCCGGCTCCAGAACTCCAGACATTGTGAATATTGAAGAGACAACCAACGTGAACGTCCCTGGACGCTGGGCTTTCAAAGTAGATGGCAGAGAAATAGACCCTGCCAATGGCTGCAGCCTGAGAGGTAAGGGAGGAATGGCACTGCTTGTTTGCAGATTTTGGGGTGCAGTGTAGCCAAAGGTGATGCTGTTGGGGTGCTGGTGGAGAGGTGCTGACTGCTCTGGGCTGCTGTGTTTTTGCCAAGGCATCCCCACAAGTTGCAGCTGTGGGGACAGAAACACGAGAGTAGGTGCCAGTCACTGGTTGCTGCACCCAAATTCCAGGTGGCAACAGGGAAGACCTGGGGACAGCAATTTCCTCTGGCCCCCACATTAGGGAAGCTGGCCTTGTGGTCCCATTTCCCTTGTTTCTGCAGGAGGAAGAGCAGGTTTTCCCTGTGCAGAGCCTGTGCCTGTGTCACACAGAGCACGGGGCTATAAACGCATTAATCAATGCACACAGTGACTGCACAGGGACTTTGCTGCACAGAGATTACTGTGTTGCCATTTGACAAATAAAACTGTCAGGAGCCTCCACAGTGCTCCAGGAGTCTTTCCAGCAAGAGAGGATTGTCATTTGGGAGTGGATGCTGGGGACATGAGGTTTCTTTATGTCCCAGTTTAGGACTGTACCAAGAAGGCTCCGAGGCTCTTGCGGCCACAGCAGAGTTTTAGATCCAACTGCTCCAGCCCCTTCCAGCTGCTGACCCCAGGAGGAAAAGGCTGGACTTTGCAAAGGGGCTGGAAGGCATCTCGGGTTTGCAGGTGACGGTGGGGAGTGTGAGTAAATCTCACCACTGGATTTAAATTTCATGCTGAATGTCTGATTGCCCTTTATGAGAGGAGACGCAGCACGAGGTGTCAGAGCCTTATGACACTCCTTTCCCAAATCCCCCACACCAGGATGGCTGGCGTGTGGGTCTTGCTAAGAGGAGACATTTGTTGCAGGGAAGTGGAAAATAGCTTCTTTTTTTTTTTTTTTTTGGTAGGAGGCAGGGAAGAGCACAAAAGTTTAGGAGAGGTAAATTCAGGCAGCGCACGGCGGGAGCCACGCGGCTGAGAAGTGTGAAAGATGGCCAGATGGAGGAGAGAGAAACTCTCCCGGGTACTTGCCACCCTTGTTCTCCTGTCTTCTCTCAGCCTCTCACGTCTCTCACCAGACAAACCTGCCTCCCTTTATAGTGCCACGTCTGCTCAGTCTGCGGGATCACTCAGCGCTCCCGTTGTGGCTGGGGTGTGGTGTGGAAGTTACTTATCAACAGCTCTTTTGGTTTCCTAACTACTACGAGCTCTCTCTGAATGGGAGTAAATTGCTCCAGGGCTGCTGGTGGCAGAGTCACACTTTGACCAGCAAAGTGGTGTGGACAGGGCAATGATGGAGGTGGCAAAATGCCAAAGGACAGCACAAGTGCAGCAACAGTGCTGGGAACAGCCTCCAAAAGGCATCAGCTTTACCAGTGGACTTTCCTTTTGGGAAAAGAGCACAAATGGCTCTTGTGCCCTGCAGTACTGAGGCACAGTGAGAGTTGTGGGTGTCCAAAATGTAGGGAATAGCCTTCAAGTTTTCCAGCCTGTGTGTTGCAGCGCTCGCCCTGGATTTGACAGCGCCCTCAGCTTCCCATGGACTTGAAGAGGATGGACCACACACTGAAAACAAAGCTTGGGATTGCAGCACTTTGCTGAATGGCACTTGCTGGGAGTTTGCACAAAGAAAGCAGCTGAGAAGCCCAGTGGCAAGACACTTTGGTGGTGGTCTTGACCACGGGGCCAGCAGACCCCTCTGAGGTGACGTGGTGCACTTGGCTCCCCTGTCTGGAGAAGTGATGTAGCGTGGGTTTTTCCCCTTTCTGTCTTTCTAGGGCAGTTTCTCCGCCAAGGGGAGATCTTTTGGGACAACGCCAACTGCAGCACCAAGTGCCGCTGCCTGGACTTCAGCAATGAGATCCTCTGCCAGGAGGTGGCTTGCGGCCCCTTTGAGGCGTGTGAGAGCAAGGCCAGGTTCTTCCAGTGCGTGCCGGTGGAGAGCAGCACCTGCGTGGTGTTCGGAGATCCTCATTACCACACCTTCGACGGCTTCCTCTTTCACTTCCAGGGTTCCTGCTCCTACCTCCTCGCCAGGCAGTGCTGGCCAGGCTCCCACCTGCCCTACTTCAACGTGGAGGCCAAGAATGAGAACCGAGGCGGCTCCTCCGTCTCCTGGCTCAGGGATATTTTTGTGGAGGTCTACTCGCACAAGATTGTTCTCCCCAAGGGTGGCTTTGGGAAGGCAAAGGTGAGAGCCCTGCTGGTGGATGGGGAGAACTTGCCAGGCTGGCTTCTCTGAGGTGGCAGTGAGGCTGTGACAACAGCTCGGAGAGCGTGGGATGGCACTTCTGGGGCTCGTGTGTCCTTGGGGAGTGGGCACGGGTGACAGGCGTGGTAGAAAAGCCCTGTGGCTTACAAATGGCTGCCCTTCTGTGCGTGTCCCTAACCCTAAGACACCATAACGTGGCTGTGTCCCAGTATGAGGGCTCTGCTATTTCCTGCGCTGGCTCAGCCTCCTGGTGTTGTCCCCGCAGGTGGATGACCTGGTGGTGTCCCTGCCCATCTCTCTGGAACTGGGTGCAGTCAAAGTCTACCAAAGTGGCCTGTCCACCGCCCTGGAGACTGACTTTGGCCTGCTGGTGACCTTTGATGGAGAACACTATGCCTCTGTCTCCGTGCCGGGCTCGTACATCAATGCCACGTGCGGTCTGTGTGGGAATTACAACAAAGACCCTGAGGACGATATCCTCCGCTCAGATGGGAGGTTGGCCACGTCCGTGCCAGAGCTGGGAGAGAGCTGGCAAGTGCCACATCCCGAGAGGAGATGCTCCACGGGCTGCTTGGAAAACTGCAGCCTCTGCGACGCCGCCACCGAGTCCCTGTATTTCACCCCCGAGTACTGCGGCTTCATCAACAAGACTGGGGGCCCCCTCTGGGAGTGCAGCTCGGTCGTGGACCCCACTGCCTTCATCCACAGCTGTGTCTATGACCTCTGCAGTGCCCCTGTGCCGAGGGATAATGGCACTGGGCTGTGCCAGGCCATCCAGGCATATGCCACGGTGTGCCAGTCCCTGGGCATCTCGGTGGGAGAGTGGCGGACACAGACGGGGTGTGGTGAGTGTTTATGTGCTTGTGCTGGGAGCCTTCCCCTCTGGAGGAGAGGAGTGATTTCAGGGGTTTACCTCTGTGCCCAGATGAGGGGAAAGAATTCCAAGGGAGGGAGTTGTTGGAGGGAGTCAGAGGAAAATGGATCAGTCCCTTTCCACGGCATCAGACTCTTACTCCAGCAAAAGGGTGGTAGAAGTCAGGTGTGAGGTGGGAGCTCCACGTTTCTCTGCAGACAGTCAGCTGCCATGGTGAGAGATGGAGGTTGGACTGGGACAGGGACAGGCTGAGGGCACACTTCTCAGCCCATCCTCCTCAAATAGCTGCAGGCAGTTTGGTGGCTCTGGAGTGGTTTTGGAGAAGCCCCTCTTATGTGACAGGAATGGCTAGGGAAACACAGAAAGGGAATGGAGGGGCCAATCCTACCATCAAAATGGAGCTCACGGGTCTCTGTGTGTTGTCTCTGCTGTGGGTCAACAGGAACAGGGTAATTGGCCCTGAACTGTGCCATAATTATGGTTCCCCCTGTTTGTGTCCCCTCTGCCCCACAGCGACGGCCGTGCAGTGCCCGGAGCTCAGCCACTACTCAGTGTGTGCCAGCAGCTGCCCTGCCACGTGCTCAGACCTCACAGCCCCGCTGGCCTGTGCCTCCCCCTGCACCGAGGGCTGCGAGTGCGACGAGGGCCACGTGCTGAGCCGGGACCGCTGCGTGCCCGCCCCACAATGCGGCTGCGACGTGGACGGGCGGTACTACCCCGTCGGGGAGTCCTTCTGGGCGTCCACGGACTGCACGGTGCAGTGCCAGTGCGAGGATGGAGGGGAGGCCAAGTGCTTCAACACCACCTGCCCCGAGGGAGAGATCTGCACCATCGAGGGCGGCCACCGCGGGTGCTTCCCCCAGCGGGAGACCGTGTGCTTGGTGGGGCAGAGCCAGGTGCTGCAGACATTCGATGGCATCACCTTCCCCTACCCACTGGAACAGTCCTACACGCTGCTCAAAACCTGCCCGGAGAGGCCAGACTTCATCGAGGTGGACATCAGCCAGAAGAAGGTGGGATCTGCTCCCAACGGGCCGCGCGTGGTGCGGGTCCAGGCAGCCGGTCAGGAGGTGAAGATTGGAGGCACCCGCCTGTCAGACATTAAGGTAAAGGTGCTGCCCAGGGCCGGGGTGGGACGTGGTGGTTTGTGGTGTGATCCCTGTCCCCTTGGAGAAGGGCTCGTGGGTCTGTGGCTGTGGACCAGACACCACAGTGGCACTTGGAGGAAGCCCAGGTGAACCATCACCATGTGAGGGCTCTGAGGTTGTTGCCACAGCACCACTATTCCTGTTTGCTGAGTCAGTTGTCTCCTGCAACTTGTTTGTTTTCCCTGGAAAAACACACTCTGTCTGGGGGCAAAAAGCAAGGAAACAACCGTATGCCCTCACTCAGAGGACGCTCTGGGTCTTGGAGGGTGGGTCAGGGTCAGGAGGTGTTTAGTGTACTCAGCACGGCAGGAAAAATCACATCATCCTCCCTGAAGTGCCTCAATTTGCTTGTTCCTTGTAGGTGAACGGTTATGACGTGGAGCTGCCCTATTTCCACCCCTCTGGACGCCTGGAAATCTACCGTGGTGACAATGGCACCGTGCTGGAGTCAGAGGGGCTCCTGGCCATCAGCTACTACGGCTCAGGGCTCCTGGAGATCCACCTCTCCACCTCCTACTTCAACTGCACCGGGGGCCTCTGCGGCCTCTTCAACGGCAACGCCAGCGATGAGTTCAACCTGCCCACGGGCAAATTCACGGACAACCTGGAGCTCTTCCTGGAGAGCTGGACCACCTTCGACGAGATCTGCAACGGGGAGTGCGGGGACCTCCTCATGGCCTGCAACAACGACTCGGAGCTGCTCAAGTCCTACCGGAGCCGCTCCAACTGCGGCATCATCAACGACCCCACCAACAGCTCCTTCCTGGAGTGCCACAGCGTGGTCAACGTCTCAGCCTACTACAGGACGTGCCTCTTCCGCCTCTGCCAGAGCGGGGGCAATGTGTCAGAGCTGTGTGACTCGGTGGCGCGCTACGCCAGTGCCTGCAAGAACGCCGACGTGGACATCGGCCAGTGGAGGAGCCACAGCTTCTGCCGTGAGTCCACCAAAGCCTTTGAGTACCCAGCGTGGGGAGAAAGGGATTTTTGAACCCACCGTACTCAGGCAGAGTCTTTTTGTTGGGAATTTGTGGGTGTGCAGAGGTGGAGCAGGTTTCTTAAGGGGTGCTGAAATGACAGCAGTAGTTTCTGAGCGTGCTGGAGCCAGCAGAGGCACATTTCACAGCAAAGTGATTTCAGGGTGGCATTTCAGGAGGCAGCAGAAGTTTTATGATGCGGTGCAGGAGCGTTCTGGAGCCGCAGATGGTGTCTGGAGGTGCTGTGTGCCACCACCAGAGGATAATTTGCATAACACTGGTTTTTAGCTGGCTCTTTAAACTTGCTGTTGGTAGGAGAACATTCATAATTCAGAAGAAGCAAATGTGAAAAATCCCTGGTATGGAAGTACATGGTGGGAAGGCAGTTCCTGTCTCTGCCTCAGAGGTTTCAGAGAGGTGCCTGTTTGGGAGCTCTGTCCTTTTAGGTTGAGTATTAGAAAAAGGTTCTTCCCCCAGGGGGTGCTTGGGCACTGAACAGGCTCCCCAGGGCAGTGGACACAGCACCAAGGCTGCCAGAGCTCAAGAAGCATTTGGATGATCCTCTCAGGCACAGGGCATGTGACTCTGGGGGATGATCCTGTGCAGAGTCAGGAGTTGGACTCGATGATTCTTGTGGGTCCCTTCCAGCTCAGGATATTCTGTGAAAATAGCAGGACGAGGTGTCTTTTGGTACGTGGCAGGACAGGACTCTGATGTGAGGGCAGTGATGGCTGAGAGGAGAAGGGGTTGCAAAAGAAATTGGGAGAGACAATGGCCAGCAAGGTGCTGAGATTGTTTCCCCTCTGACTTCTTTCCCCCCGAATCAGTCACCACTCACCCCATTCCCACTTTTTGCCTGTCCCTCACCCCGTGGGGCTCACGCTCTCTGTTTGCCGGCCCTGCAGCTCTGGCCTGCCCGGAGAACAGCCACTTTGAGGAGTGCATGAGCTGCGTGGAGACCTGTGAGAGCCTGGCCTCGGGCCCCGTGTGCACAGACACCTGCACCGAGGGCTGCCAGTGCGACGAGGGCTTCGCCCTGCGCGGCGCCCGCTGCATCCCGCGCGGGGAGTGCGGCTGCAGCTTCGAGGGGCGGCAGCTGGCCACCAACCAGACCTTCTGGATGGACATCTCCTGCCACTTCCTCTGCTACTGCAACGGCTCCGACAACAGCGTGTACTGCGAGAATGTCTCCTGCAAGGACGACGAGTACTGCCTGGAGGAGAACGGCCTCTACTACTGCCACGCCCGCACCGACGCCTCCTGCATCATCTCCGGCTACGGCCACTACCTGACTTTTGACGGCTACTCCTTCGACTTCCAGAGCAGCTGTGAGTTGATCCTGTGCACCACGATCTCCAGGCCCAGGGTGGAGCGCTCGGACACGTTCCCAGCGTTCACTGTCACGGCCAAGAATGAGGACCGGGACACCTCTCTGGCCCTGTGGGTGAAACAAGTGGAAGTGGAGGTCTTTAACTACAACATCGTCATCCACCGTGCCTACAAATACACCGTGCTGGTGAGTGCAGGACAGCAGGGATGTGGTTATGTCTGCCTGTGTGGCTCCCAAACCAGAGAGTGAGTTCTTAGGCACTGGGCTTTATGGTCTGCAGGGTTTTACAGGGTTTGGGAAGTGTGGATGCTTGGGTGCTGCCAGGCAGCTTTTGGAGCTGCCAGGCAGCGTTTGTGTTTTGGCTGCCTTGTTTTGGGTGCAGAGGCGAGGCCGACAGGGACCTTGCTCTGGGAATGCCAAGCCACCCCCATTTCTATCCTTCTGTGGCAGCTGTGATTTCATTCCCACTCACAGTGCATCTTGTTTCCTTCCCTGCAGATCAATGATGAGCGTCTCTACCTGCCCCTGAAGCTGGGCCAGGGCAAAGTGAACATCTTTGCCTTCGGCTTCCACATCGTGGTCGAGACCGACTTCGGGCTGAAGGTGGTGTACGACTGGAAGACCTTCCTCTCCGTCACCATCCCACGGGGCTTCCAGAACCTCACCTACGGCCTCTGTGGCCGCTACAACGGCAACCCCGAGGACGACCTGGTGGCCTCGGGTGGCACAATGGCCACCAGCATCGCCGACTTTGTCCAGAGCTGGGCCAAGAGGGACACGTTCTGCCGCGTGGGCTGCGGCGACCGCTGCCCGGCCTGCGGGAAGGTGGAAGGCTTCTGGAAGCCCCAGCAGCTCTGCAGCCTCATCCCGAGCCAGAGCGGGGTCTTTGCCAAGTGCCACAGCAAGATCAACCCCGGCTTCTTCTACAAGAACTGCCTGTTTGACACCTGTGTGGATGGGGGAGCCATGCAGACAGCCTGCAGCTGGCTGCAGAACTACGCCAGCACGTGCCAAACACAGGGGATTGCCATTACTGGCTGGAGGAACTTCACCTCGTGCTGTAAGTGCCACCCTGCCTCCAGGTCCTTCTTTTTCTGGGGTGCCAGGGATGGGGAGGCCAACAGCCAGGCAGCCGGTCCCTCCTGTGCTGGGTGTGGGGTCAAGCCTGGACCACTCTATTCTTTACAAACTGCACGTGGTACAGCAGGAGCAGGGGTGGAAAAGGGGAAGCCTCAAGCTCAGGATGTATCAGCCATCCCCCCCTTGTTAAGCAGGAATTACATTAGTTGGCTTTGAAGGCAGGAGTATGTGTTTGCTCTAGTGAAGCTGCAGCCCCTTGTCAATAAGGTTGTGATGCTCTGTTCAATTAGGCTCCTGAGGATGGGGACTGCACGCCTCCCTGGCAGCCAATCTATCTGGCAAATCAGATGGGAAGTAATTGTCTTTGCTAACAAGACTGAAAATTAAATTTGTGTCGTTTTCCCTTCTGACAAGCAAGCTCATGGCCCAGAGGCACTGCTCACACAGGGTGGTGAGGCTGCTGACTGGCACCCTGCACGGCAGGTCCGAGGTGTTCCCTTTGGGGAGCCAGGTTGGTTTGGTCCAGGGAGCTAATCTGAGTGTTTTGTCCTCTCTCAGCTGTCAGCTGTCCCCCCAACAGCCACTACGAGAGCTGTGTGTCCCTGTGCCAGCCCCGCTGTGCCGCCATCCGGCTCAAGAGCGACTGCAGCCACTACTGTGTGGAGGGGTGTCAGTGTGACCCCGGGTACGTCCTCAATGGCAAGAGCTGCATCCTGCCCCACAACTGTGGCTGCTACTCCGATGGCAAGTACTATGAGGTGAGCAGCTCCAATCCTTCTCTCAGGGCTTGCTTTTGTCCTCTGGCTGATATTTCTGGACCTGAGAGGGGATGGCAGTCAAGCTGGGCTGGTACCAGGGATAGAGAGGAGAGGGATGTCCTTCCATGGTGTGCTGCATAGCAACAACCACCATACAGGTGATGATTTCTATCTGCAAAAATCATCAAGTGAGGGTGACCCGGGTGTAAAGCAGGGGAGAGAACTGGTAGAGGGAAGGGTGATGACTGAGAAGACTGTCTTTGGTGAGTGCCAAACTCCAGTACTATATAACCATTTGTTCTAGGTATTCCCCTTTTTGTTTCACATTAAATTTTTTTATTTGTAGCTACTAGGTGTCACTCAGGAGTTTGATGCAGCAGAGAGCTGTGCTTGGTAGCACTGCTCATATTACAGCAGGTTGTATTTTGTGTCAGTGAATCTGTTCTGTGTAAGATGTCTTTGCCAAGCCCCACACCCATAAGGAGCCAGTATTAAATATCAAAACCTTAAATTATTAAATTAAATACTTGAATTAAATATTAAAATCAAACCTTTTGATTGCCTAAGTGAAAAACACGTCGCAGGGCTCAGCAGATAGACAATAGGTGACACACTGGGCTATCATGTCAAGAACTCTGGTGGGGGTACTGGGGTACTAACAGGTGGGTTGGTGGCCAGCAGAGTGCAAGAAAGAGATCAGGGAAGTGTTTAACACTGTGTGTGTACAAGAGGTGAGGAAGGTTGTGATGGCAGTGCAAACAGTTGCCTCATGTCTGTGGGTAGCAGAGGTAGGTGCAAGCTGTTCTTGCACCTTTTTCTCTGTCCTCATTGCCCACTCTTGCTTGTTGTGCAGCAGAGGGGTGTAAACCTTGTCCCACAGAGGGCAGGGCAGGGATCCCTGGAGTGAGGAGTCCCTGGAGGTATTTAAGAAGAGACTGGATGTGGCATCAGTGCCATGGTCTAGTTGACAAGGTGGTATTGGGTCACTGGTTGGACTCGTTGATCTCAGAGGTCTTTTCCACCCTGGTTGATTCTGTGATCCTGTGCTTCTCTTTCAGCCCAAGCAGCTCTTCTGGAACGGGGACTGCACCCGCCGGTGCCGCTGCTTCCGGCGCAACCTGATCCAGTGCGACCCTCGGCACTGCAAGTCGGACGAGGAGTGTGCCCTGCGCAACGGCGTCCGCGGCTGCTTCAGCACCCGCAGCTCCTTCTGCCTGGCGGCGGGAGGGGGCGTGTTCCGCACCTTCGACGGCGCCTTCCTCCGCTTCCCCGCCAACTGCGCCTTCGTCCTCTCCACCATCTGCCAGAAGCTGCCCGACTTCTCCTTCCAGCTCATCATCAACTTCGACAAGTGGTCCTCGCCCAACCTCACCATCATCTCCCCCGTGTACTTCTACATCAACGAGGAGCAGATCCTCATCAGTGACAGGAACACTGTCAAGGTAAGGTCTCATCAGGGGTGTCCACTCCCTCCATGGGCTGGGGAGCAGGGTGCTGGGTCCCAAATGGAGTGGGATATCAACTTCCAAATGGACTGGTATGGCACTCAGGCACTCACAATAGTCTCCACAAGGGCCTTAGACAACTGTTGTTGTTTTCACAGCTGGGATGGTGGGAGGCATTAGTGGAACCATTTTTGATGGCTCACACTCACATCCATAAGCAGAGGATACAGGAGGGAGATCTACTCCGTGTCCTTCCTTTCTCCAGGTGAACGGCAGCCAGGTGAGCATCCCCTTCGTCACGGGGCTTTCCACCAAGATCTTCAGCCAGGAGGGCTTCCTGGTCATCGACTCCAGCCCGGACATCCAGATCCGCTACAACGGCTTCAACGTCATCAAGATCACCATCGGGGAGCGGCTGCAGAACAAGGTGTGCGGCCTCTGCGGCAACTTCAACGGCGACCGGACGGACGACTACGCGACGCTGCGGGGGAAGCCGGCGGTCAGCAGCGTGGTGCTGGCCCAGAGCTGGAAAACCAACGGCATGCAGAAGAGGTGAGTGGTCAGGCAGCCCTTCCCACGGAGCGGGAGCGGGAGCAGGGCTGGCCGCACGAGCCCCCGCCTTGTGTCCGGTGCCCACAGCTGCAACGAGCTGCAGTACTCGCAATACGCCGCTTCCTGCGACAACGTCCAGATCCAGGAGCTGCAGAGCGACAGCTACTGCCTGAAGCTGACGGACATGAAGGGCTTCTTCCAGCCCTGCTACGGCCTCCTGGACCCGCTGCCCTTTTATGAGTCCTGCTTTCTGGACGGCTGCTACAACCACAAGAAGGTCCAGCTGTGCGGCTCGCTGGCCGCCTACGGGGAGGCCTGCCGCACCTTCGGCATCCTGGGCACCGAGTGGATCGAGAAGGAGAATTGCTGTAAGACAGCCGGGGGCCGTCTGGGTTGAGGGGAGGGGGGTTGGAGAGAGGTGCCTGCCCTGTGCTCCGAGGGTGAAGGTCGTGTCTGTGCTCTGCCTTGTGCTGTTTAGCAGGAGTGGTGGAAGATCCCTGCGTGGGCGCCGACTGCCCCAACCGCACGTGCGAGCTGGACAACGGCGGGGAGCTGTGCGGCTGCATCGAGCCCCCGCCCTATGGGAACAGTGAGTACCCTGGCCCTGGCTGTGGGGTCGGTGCTGAGTGGTGTGCTGGGCTATTGTACTGCTGGAGCTGTGGGAAGGGAGGTGCTGAGGGCTGGGACTCTGGGGTTTCATGACTTTTCGCAGGTCAGAACAGGAGGAGGAACAGGGAACCCAGGGAAGGGGTTTTTTGGGGTGCTCGTTATGGGCATCTCTGGCTTGGGAGTGCTTTGAGCAGGGATGTAGGACAGACAGGGCGCACCACAGGAGACAATCCCAGCCCATTTCTGGTGTTGGGGAGCAGTGCTGGTGGTGATCTGAACTTGTCTCATCTTCTCCTCCAGCCACCCACGACATCATTGATGCGGAGGTGACCTGCAAAGCCGCCCAAATGGAGGTGTCCATTTCCAAGTGCAAACTGTTCCAGCTGGGCTTTGAGCGTGAGGGTGTGAGGGTCAACGACCGCCACTGCCCCGGCATCGAAGGGGAGGACTTCATCTCCTTCCAGATCAACAACACCAAGGGCAACTGTGGCAACCTGGTGCAGGTGAGCTGGGACATGGGGCATGGAGAACTGGGAGTGGGGGCCAGTCCTCCACAGCAGCCCAGCTTGACACCAGGGTTGGGGCAGGGCTGCACATGGATGCGAGTGATGCTTGGGAGCTGCTTGCATGGGCTGAGGCTCCACTCAGGGATAGAAGGAGAACAGAGATAGGTTTTGTGGAGTAAGGACTCTGCCTTGTGGTTCCTTGCCCCACCATTCCATACCCTTTCTGGCTAGGGGCAGTGGAGTGGCAGCAGGACCCTTAGTGTCACACAGCTTGTTTAGAGGCCAAGTGTCTGTAGGAGCAGGGGAGGAGATGGCTGGTCTCAAGCAATGCCCTGTGTTCCCTCTGCAGTCCAACAGCACACACATAGTGTACAAGAACACGGTGTGGATCGAGAGTGCAAACAACACAGGCAACATCATCACCCGGGACCGGACCATCAACGTGGAGTTCTCCTGTGCCTATGAGCTGGACATCAAGATCTCCCTGGATTCAGTTGTGAGGCCGATGCTCAGGTAGGAGCCAAGGCCAATTGCACAGGTGGAGGGGGAGGCAGCAAGAGCTCCAAAGCAAGGCACCAGTCTGGGGGCTCACAGCATCTCCTCCATCTGAGCCAGTATTTTTTGTGTCATCATTAGTGTGATTAACCTGACGGTGCCGACGCAGGAGGGGAGCTTCACCACCAAGATGGCCCTGTACAAGAACTCGTCCTACAAGCACCCTTACCGGCAGGGCGAGGTGGTGCTCACCACCCGGGACGTGCTCTACGTGGGGGTCTTTGTGGTCGGGGCCGACTCCAACCACTTGATCCTGATGCTGAACAAGTGCTACGCGACCCCCTCGCGGGACAGCAACGACAAGCTGCGCTACTTCATCATCGAGGGAGGGTGAGCGACCAGGGGCCAGCACGACCTGTTGGTTTCCATGGTGTCTGCTGGAGAGGGTGCTCAAAGGGGTGATGGCACCAGTTTTGGATTTTTGGCTGATGATCAAGTTCTGGAAAGGGTGGGGAACAGGGCAGCCAGTGCTGTTAGGGCAGGATTAATTTGCTTAGAGTGGAGGTGGCCACAAGTCCTGTGTGTGACAGAGTCCCAGATGTGGAGAGAAGTGACCTTCCTCGTGTTGATAATGGGCAATGGGATTTCTGTAGGAGATGGGGATATGGATCATGGCACAGGCATTTCAGGAAGTGGGAGTACAATGAAGTTGGAAGTGCCAGAGGGAGGTTACAGAGGCAGGGCATGACATCTCTGTCCAGACAAACACACCACTGTGGGACTCAGGCTGAGGAGTCCTTACAGGGACAGGGGAGAGTGATCCCTTGAGGGAGGATCCTGGTCATGGGAGGGTCGTGGTGAGCATCAGTGCTTTGCACAGGTGCCAAAACATAAAGGACAACACCATTGGCATCGAGGAGAACGGGGTGTCCTTGACGTGTCGCTTCCATGTCACCGTGTTCAAGTTCATTGGGGACTACGACGAGGTTCACCTGCACTGCGCCGTCTCGCTCTGTGACTCGGAGAAATACTCCTGCAAAATAGTAAGTGGGACAAGAGCAGAGGGGGCCAGGTTGCTTGCTTTGAAGGGCTGTGTGGGAGTGCAGCAAGCCCAGCTGATGTGGCGTCAGAGAGGTGACCAGAGATGTAGCCCCAGGGGTGAGACCGGGAGGGTTGTGTGGGGAGAGGCTCTGCCATGGGCAGGTCACCTGGAGACCTGAGCGTGGTTGGAAAGTCCCTTTGGAAGCTGGGCTGGACTGAGGGGCACAGAGAGGGCCCAGGCAGGGGCTGAGGGTGACAGAGGTGGCATTTATCCCCGAATAGAACTGCCCCCAGCACACGAGGATGGCCAACGCGTTCGCCGAGGAGTCCAAGGAGCAGATCCTCTCAGTGGGACCTATCAGGAGGAAGCGTAAGTGTGCGACCCCAGGGAAGGCTGGGTGGGGGTTGCCTGCCATCCCAGTCCTAGGCAGCCAAGGACTGGGGTCTGGGAGCGTTGCTCAGGTGTCCCCCTTTGCTGTGCGTGCCCAGGGTCGGACTGGTGCGAGGACAACGGGGGCTGTGAGCAGATCTGCACGAGCCGGGCGGACGGACCCCTGTGCAGCTGCGTGACAGGGACACTGCAAGGGGACGGCAAGAGCTGCAGGGGCAAGTACCAGGCTTGGGGCAGGCAGAGCAGGGGCTTCCACGCCCGAGCCGAGGGGCTGTAGGGGTGAGCAGCGAGGGGAAGGCGGCTGAAAGGTGCGGTGTGTTGCAGACAGGAAGGATGTGGAGGGCGGGGAGCCAGATGTGTGCTCTTCCTGGCACCTGAGGGCTGCAGGGCCAATGCTGGCAGATTCTGAAGAGCTGGCGAGGGTGATGATAGTGTACAGCGTGGTGCAGGGTAGGATAGATGCCATGGGTAGAGTCTGGGGGCTCGTGGGAGGGGGGCCCAGCAATGAGATCAGGCATTGGGAGGGTGCAGGACTGGCATGATTTGAGGGGCACTCAGCATGTCGGGGAGGGAGGTACACGCTGCACACGTGCCAGGGCCCCAGCTCACACGGATCTCGTTGTGTTGGCAGCCTCCAGCTCTTCAGGGGAGCACCGTGCCCAAGTGACCCCTCTGGTGGTGGCCCAGCTGTGGCTGTGGCTGCGCGTGGCTCTGCGGGACCTGACCTCGTAGGTTCGGCTCTGCCGCCCCGCCAAAAACTGTTCTCGCGTCAGCCTGAGTCTTTGTAGGGTAGGAGACAGCCCCCCCCACAGTGGCCACGCTGCCTCCAACCCTCTGCTGTGAGGAGAGAAGAGGGATGTGACCCGGAGAGAGCTCGGACGTGAAGGTGGCACGTGGCGGGCGCAGCGGCAGCAACGGCAAGACAGAGCTGGATGTCTGCCCGTGGGACTGTGCTTTGGGGGTTTTTTTACAGGTTTCTATCATTGATGTGGACTCAAGGAGGGGTTTTTGCAACTTTTCCCCAGGCTTTCCCTTACAGCTGCACTGTAGGTGGCCCTCACCGCTGTCAGTAGCGTGGGACAGGCCGGAGCGTGTGTCCCTTTGCACGGACAGCTGTGGGTCTCCACAGTCCTTGGGAGCTGCCATCAGGGTTTTGGGAGCTCATGGACTCAGCCAGAGGTAGGTGTTGGGGCACAGGTTGTGGGCCAGAGCAGTGCATTGTCACCACTGGATGTAGTGACACCTTGGGACCGTGTCACCCTCTGGCTCTCCGGTGCTGAGGTGTGTGCTGGAGAGCCCAACTCATCCCCAGGGCTCTGGAAGTCTTGGTTTTGTGCTGCAGTGCTGACAAGTCAGTCTCAATATTTGGAAAGAGGTGCTTTCTGGTGGGCAGGGACAAGAGCCAGGGAAATGGGGGGTGGAATTCCCTGCTGTGTTTTTGTGATGGGCCGCGGCAGAGTTGTTTGAGGGTCGGAGCAGGGTTGGGGTCTGCTTGCACAGGGCAGCAGCATTGGGGTGCCTGGTGGAGCAGCCTTGGGGTGCTGGTGGGTGTGGGGGGGCTGTGTTGGTGTCTTGTCTTGTGTTTGTACTCTGTGAAACGGCTGCGTGGGAATAAAAAGTGTTGTAATCCTTGGTAAGCGCCGTGGTCCCGTGTGGTGGTGGCCAGGACCGGGAGAGGCAGCTGGGCCTGGAAGGGCTCTGGGGATGGAACCAGACCCTGGGAGGGTGGGGAGGGTTTTGGGGTGCCAGGCAGAGGCTGCAAAAGGGGCACAGCAGAGCTGAGGGTCTGGGTTGGGGCAGGTTTGCCATGAGATGGGCTGGGATGCAGGGCTGAAGGTGCAGAGGAGACTGGGGTTTTGGGGCAGGAGGAGGGCAGCTGGTTCCTCTTGCCTCAAGGGTAGAGGTGGCTAGCAGGGTGTTGTGGACTCTCTTTGCCCTCTGCACCTCATGCCCTCTGTGTTTTAGCTCTCAGTTCTCTCCTTCATCCCTCTTTTCTCCCTCTCACTGCCTCTCTGCTGCCTCGTTCCCCCCTCTCTGTGCTCCCTCACTCTTTGTGCCTCTTCACTCTCTGCTTGGTCTCTGCTCCCTGTTTGTGCCTCTCCTCTCTGCCCTGCTCTCTCTCTCTCTGTGTCCCCCTCTCTTGGTGCTCACACTCTGCTCACTCTGTGCTCTCTTATGCCTCTCTGTGCTTCTCTGCCACCCCTCTCTGCTGTCTGCTCCCTCTCAGTGCTCACTCTGCTGCATCTGCTGTCTCTCTGCCTCTTTGTTTGCCCTCTGTGCTGTCTCCACATTTGCCCTCTGCTCTCTCTGCCCTCTGCCTCTTTGCCCTCTCCCCATCCCTTCTGCATCTCCCTTTTTGCTCTCCAGGTCTCCTGGCTCTCTCTTCAGTTTTTTTGCCTCTCTTCCCCCCTTGCCCTCGTCTCTTGTCCTTTATCTTGGCATCAATAAATTAACTCTGTGGCCAAAGGATGATGAGGAGCATGGATGTGCCTGTACCTGAGGTAGCTGACCCTGTTGCCCAAGAGCCTGTGTGTTTGCAGAGGTTGCCCACTCTCTGTCTGGGGTGGGACAACCCACGGAGCTGATGATGGAGAGGATCTCCTGGGCACTGGAGGCAGCTGAGTGGTGCTGGCTGGCCCTTGGTGGGGATGGCTGGTAAGTAGGTAGGTAACCAAGTTGCTTATTTAGTAGCAGAGTGGTGTGGTGGGGGGTACAAGTGGGTTATGATGATGTTAATGATATTTTTGTGGTTTTTTATAGGTTTTTAACAGATGTCCAAGCAGTGGTGATGGGCAGAGCACCCGTTTGTGGGGATTGCACTGACCTGGCCAAGGTCTGACTCAACCCTTTGCGTGACTTAATAGAATCACAGAGCAGGTTCCACCCATCTCATTCCACCCCCTGCCA